CCCCCACCCCTTCAAAAAGTTTGGGTAATTTTGTCTCTTCCTATATAGAGAGAAAAAAAAATCAATACAAAGGAAATAGGACTATATTATTATATTCAAACAATATTGAAATATTGGATACATAGTCTTTCTTCCACGAATTGATGAACTGATAGGCATGAAGAACGCACTTTCGTGCATAAAATATTCTATCTTCGAAACCGAAAACAGTGTTTTAATTCTTTTAATATTTAAGCCTAGCTGAGCTAAGCCTAGTTTGTCCGATCTGCCAACCTAAGCATAGGTAGGTTAGCATGCCTTTTGTAAGCCAGGCCCCAGTAGTATTTAGTTACGTTTCTTCACAGATGGAGGTTCGTCCGAACCCCCTGAACCCCCCCTGGATCCGCCACTGCATTGCAAGACCCTAGCAGCTATATTTTGTACACAAGCTTTTAGTCTTGTACAAAGATAATTACTACTTTTATGCTGAACTTTTTGACACATATTTAAAATTCCCTGATCATAATTCTACTCAGAATCTCAAATTGATTTCTGCTAATAATTTACCAAATGTATTTTACCAACAACAAAGAAACAACAAACAAGAAATTATTGTAAGATTCCAGGTTCTATGCCAGGAACCAAAGGATTGTGGGAAAGCATTAGGTTAGCCAATAAGCTCTCTTATTATCTTTGATCTGTATTCATCACCCTAGGCTCATAGTAAGTTCAGTGATCTCATTTTAGAACTCCTAGTATTAAAATCCGTCAGTAAACATGATGATATTTGAAAAATAATACATACGGTTATATACACCAATAGTAGTCTCAACATTTATGTTAAAATTATATTAGACAGGCAATGCTTTTAAGAGTAGTTTCAGTTTATTTACTCAAAATGACCTTTCAAAGGTGTCAAGCCTTCTGTCATCAGATGTGTGGTAGTTATATCTAATGTAAGCCGTAGTTTATACTGTAAACCATGGAGAATGCTGGGCCATATTGTTCTGATATTAATTAAATTAATGTACTTAAAACAAAATTATAATCCAAACTCTGTGGGTGGAGCAGTTATCCTTGCCAATTAAGCTGTTATAACAAATTAATTATTAATATCCTTACCCTGATCAACACGGCTGGCATATAACGTCGCTCACATTACCAACACAATCAAAGTAGACTGTGTAAGTTCGTGAAATCAAGAAAGCGCGTCAAAATACGCGCTGTTGTTGTTAACAAGTTTTTGTGTGGTAAAGAATACAAAAATACTTGACAACCAATACGCGCTTGTTTTGACGCGCTACTCTGATTTCACGAACTACACAATCTACTTTGATTGTGTTAGTTTGTGATGTGAGCGAGAATATACCTGAGCTACTAAAAATTATCTGAATTTATCAACAAAATAGGAGTTTTCTATGCAAATATGCTTTGTATTAGTATATACTCTATTATCTAAGTCTACAGAGATAAACACTAAACAATTGTGCGGTAATGGTTGACTATATAAATCGTAATGTAAACAAATCTGACAATAAAATAACAGCAAACACCAGTTTCAATTTCAGGAGACATTCAGATGGGATACAAGATAGTATTAAACAGTAATATTGAATATCACATAAAAAGGACACTTATATAAAACTCACCAAAATACACTCAGACATAAAAGCTGTTAGTATTTCAAGACTTGTTTAGTTGACATAAATGCTAAATTGTGGGCACAAGGCTCCCATGTCTAAGTGCAAGTCAGAGGCAAGTTTATGTCAAACCAAAATACTCCATTACTAAAGTGCGGCTAAATTCCTTCTACAACACCATTAAAAAAAAAATTCAACACACCAAATGAAATGCACCTGACACTGACAATACTCAAATAGCAATAAAGCACGGTTCAAAAATAAGCACTGCCTAAATACAAACAACTCAACATAGATACTACTTTTCATGTACACAACTCACAAATAATACTACAGTAATAAAAAAAAACTACACATATTGCTCAAATAACATATTGAGTATTACTTAATTAGGCACTAATGAATAAGCACTGATAATATATATATATATACACTGTTAAAAATAAGCATTACTCAAAATAAGCGTTAAGCCGGCTACTCACTGCGTGCGACGGCGACACGGCAAAGAACGCACACAAAGACGTGGACCCAACGGATCGTCTTTTTATGAGGATCCGTTCAGATTGCCAGTGACAATCAGCAGACGGTGTTGCGTCTCTCGCCGGAAGCAAATGTTGATTCGGTCGTACGCAGTGAGTGTCCAGCTTAATTGAGTAGCACTTAAAATAATTGTTATTTAGAATGAGTACTACTAAAAAATATCTCTAAAATGAGTACTACTTAAAATTAACAATAAGTACTACTCAAATGTGTACTCTACTCAACATGAATAATACTGGACAGGATACACAGGACAATGGTACTCACTCAGTAGTTGGTTCTTTGCTTTCAGATTTCTCTTCAAGTTCAGCAAGTTTTGAACCTGTGTGACCCCTAGAGACATAATGATCATGCAAACATTCATAAATAAATTAATCAAACAAAAGAAAAATAAAATAGTCAGATACGCTAGTCAGTGAAGTTAAAGGTAGTCGAACCATACAGGGACTGCCTATCCCTCTTTCTTAAGGGGATCGCCACTTTGCCTCACAGCGAGTCTGTTTAAGTCTGTTTTACGTTCCCAGTATATGCCAGTACGCATTTACACTCCTGAGATAAACAAACGCAGATAAAATGTCTTTGCCCATGGACAAGCGACTTGCACAAAAAGGGCTCGAACCCCTCACCACACGGATGAGAGTCTATGTGCCAAATGTTTCCACAGGTAAGTGAAGAAAAATGAAGCAATTTATCTTTACTGATATACGGTTATCAACACCAAAAATGATCTGTACTGTGATTGGTCTTACATGTGTACAATACATTAATGAGTTTATTACGAAGTAATCCTTAAAAAATCATTCTCCATGGTTAGATAGTATTTGAGATGGTTATTTAGAGGTACATATACCAAAACAACAATAATGTTAATAAAACAACTACAATTAATCGATTTAAAATAATTCACCACCGATGACAAACACAAAGCAATATAATTTCAAGACATATTTTATAGGGACACATATTTAATCTTATTACTACAGTAATCAATAATCACTTTTCAATATTGTTACTCAATCTTTTAGTTTCAATGTTTCTTTTCTTTGCTTTATGTTGTAAAGAACTTCAGGGATGGTTTAATATGAGGCATTGTATAAATCAATTATTACTAACATGATTATAATTCTCATATATTATTATACCATTACCAAAATCTGAATTACTTAAAATTCAAACTATATTTTGTTAGGATAAAGGTAATATTAAGAAGATACCAAAATAATTGATATATAAAAATGTATGTTATTATTCAATATCCTTAATTAATGATCCCAGTAAAAAGTACAGAGTACCTTAATATAAAATTCACTACAAGATATACCTCAGTAACTTAATGAGAACATAGCAATAAGATCAATAGCAGTTAGGGTAAATGTCGCATTCACGATATTTTGAACTAGGAAGAGAATTGTAGCTGGAGGGATAGGAACCGAACATTATTAATTAAAGAATTCAATTAGGGAACTTCAGACTTGACAAGTAGGGTAGAATAATTTCATGATATGGCAACTGGAAAAATGATAATCACTAGTAACCGTACCGTTTCGTTAATTCTTCTTCAACGGATTCAAGGAGACTTCTTCCAGAAATAGAAGAAAAAATAAAGTACATTAAAACTTAATTAACGACATAATAATGAATAGCAGGGCTTTGCGAACACACTAATGGTTGTAGCAACACGGCAGTTTTTAACATGCAGCTAGGTATTGTGCGTGGTTAAGCATCACTGGGTTTATAACCAACTGTGGTGATGCCTGTCAGAAATATACAGTATGTCAGATGCAGCATATTATTATTAGACCTTTCCATAATTATTTTTAATCTGTCCTTTCCGAACCTATATTACCTACTACTCTCTTTTAATGTATTCAAACCATGTATTCACTGTGCCATGTTTGTTCAGAGCATTCGTCATCGAACAAAACCCTCATTTAAATTAACGAACATGCTACAGTAATTCAATTGATATTCAATTTCATAAATGTTAATACTGTTTTAATTTATTTAAATTGTTTTGCATATCCTGTGTTTGTTGATGACAGACAAATCCATAGAATAACAGTTAGGCATGCATGCACTGTTGAGCAGAGACAGAGTATGATTGATGAAATAAGTTTATGTGGTACAAACTAAACCTATATTTGGGTCTTAGTGAGCACTTCTATCAAATTTGTTGGCGATTTAAAAAACAACAAAAAACTTAATTATACTAAATTATACTATCAAAAAAAAAAAAAAACCCCACCAAAAAAACTCAAAAAATAAAAAAATGAACTGTTCATCAAAAATGATAAAAAAACTAAATTATCAAATCATCTAACGAGATACCAATCATAAATTTTTTTTTCCATTATTTGGAGTTGTTTACAAAGAAAATCATTAAATTTATTACAAAACTAATTAGGGTTTTTGAGAAGAATATGGAACAGTGTTAATATGTTTGCTCAATGGTGAGAAAAATATTTAATCTTCTGATTTTCAATTGAAAGTTATATAACTTGATATTTCACAGAGTGAGCAATCTTAATATTAAATTTTGTTTTTCTATTCTATTTAGGTCAAGATTCGGTTTAACTCTAAATGATCGGTGGCAGTAAATCTGTTTATACACATCCTACTCGTGCACGCTCAATCAATCCTAAGCATAATAACGCACTATATTAAGAGCTGTTTACAAAAAACCTTTTAAAAATGGTTGTGGGTGGAGCATTTGTGGTGTGGTGTGTGCAGTAGCATAGCCCTTACTGGCTTCCAGTGCAGCTAAGCTTCCGTTACTACGAAAACTCTTTGCTTCATAAACACATTAGCAACACAGATTAAGCACTTCCTCTAGGCTGATCGTCCAATTTCGAACAAATCAGATACGGAAGATGTTGGCGTTTCAATGTACAGATTTAACCGCTACTGTCAAAATACCGTTTTTTGAGGTCACATTTATACTTCTTTGAAAATGTACGTTATTTAAAAAGACATAAATGAGTTTTCTTCAATGCTTAATTGGTGGTCTCTAGAGTAAGGCTGATTATATAATAGACAATTTGTTATTATCTTTGGTTAGCAGACTTACGAAATATTTTTTACTACTCTGATAAAGAATTCTTACATGTGCAGGGATATGAAGCTCATTAGTTGACTGTGCTAACAAATCACCAAGCCACAACCTTATAGCAACATTTAATTTTGATATGAATTTAATAACCAGAAAATTAAAAATAATTAAGATTTTCTATGACATCTTATTATGGGATATGCAAAGATTTTTAACCTACAACCTTGACACTGAAGGTCAAGTAGATTCACAAAGAAGTTGCTACTCAACAATCATAAAAATGGCGATAAAATTCCAAAGTTACAAGCGCCACCAATTTCATTCAGTATTCAGTGATATTTCTTATGTGAAGTGCACAGCAGTAGCCAGATATTTAATATGAATGTTGATTGATTAATGGACTTGGTGAACTTTTATAGTAAGTGGGTTTAAATTGCATTGTAAACTACTTCCTGACACCTTGGTTTGAACTTATGCTAATTATGATCAGCACAATAACTACAACTGCTTATATTTTTGTCTATATAATAAAAACATCAAAAGGGTTCCTAATATCATGCCATGACTATTTTGATATAACTTTTGTAAAACTTTTCCAAAACAACTAATGTGTTACTTGTTTATCTGTTTTCATTCAATTTTTATGTTCTTTTAACTGTATGTTTTCTATAACATCTGTATATTTTAACCATAAAGAAATTTTACCTACATGTTCTAAATAACTAAAAATCCACTTTTCAAATTGGCTTTTTCAGAATTGTTTCCCATCATTTGGGTATCTTTAACATCCGTTTTCAATCACATGGATGGCTATGATGCAGCACAGCCCAATTTACATATAGGTGCACCTATTTTTGCAATGCAATGTGCTTGCAAACTACAATGTTACATTTATGAGGATTTTTATATCAATACTGAAGGAAAAATTCAAACAAAATACAATATCTTTGTAAGACTAAAAACATCATTGAGCCCATAAGACCTATACAGAATATAGTTATTAACAGCTCTAGCCTTGACCTGACATTTAATGCAATTACAACTCTGATTAAAAACCAATTAATTTTACAGGATTTAGTACAATTTTACTATTTTTGTGTAGACATAATAAAAATTAGCAAATTTTGGTGAATATAATGCATTTTATTTTTTTGCACACTTGAATATTTAAGATAAATTAAACATTACTGGAAGAATTCTGCCTGGCCTGGATATGTAGATAAATTAAGTAGACCAGGTAGCTCAATACTTGTTTTTATTACATAGTATTAATGTTAGTTCCTAGCAAATTTTGAAGAAATATTACTATTTAAGTATGAATTGGGAATGTCATGATTATATTAGATTCTAATATACAACCACATATGTAAAAAGGAAAAATTTCCTTTCCTTAATATAAATAACCATAAATATTATATATTAGATATTCTTTTATAATTCAGCTAAGTTAAGCTGATTATTTCTCTCTATTTTTTATACATCAAGTAAAAAGTCACTCTTTAAATCCAAGGGAAAATGGATTAATTTAAATAATATAAGAAGAGCTATCAGAAATATCACCGAGGCTTTAGTCCACCTGTCACGTATATCATAATATATGTGTATGTCAAAGTTGCAGGATGTTAGCGTAAAATGCAGGCTCATGCGAAAACAAAATTAAAAACTTCTTGCTGCAATACATTCAAAATGCAACAAGACACAAGCAAGCACAACAAGATTTGCATATTTAGGAGCACCTGCATCAGGTGTCAGGCCGACACAGACACACACCTGTATGAAGATGATTTAGAAGAATTTGATATGGATACTTTTCGTCTTGACCTGAAATGAAGAGTCTATGATGATGAGTTATGTTTTAGCTGGTCCAATAGTAGCAACTTCAAATTAGCACATCTTTTAAGGAGGGAAAAAACTATGGGAAGAGGAAGGGATAAATCAAATAATATTGCAAAAAAAAAAAAAAAATTATGTTAAACTCGTTGAAATTTGTATGAGACTCTTCTACAATTTTGCATGCAATAATGTATGTAAATTAGTAAACAAAACATTTTGATTTTCTGAGAGTATTAAAGACTGAATGACCACAAAAGCAATGACTGTTATCCAATGGCAACAATCAATACCTGCTAATAAATAACATTATCTATTATTACCATAGTAATAAATATTGTTACTATAGCAATACATGTTGTCACCATAGCAATGTGTTAACATAGCAATATATGTTGTTACCATAGCAACACTTGTCACTATAGCAACATATGTTGTTGCTATAACAACTACTGTTACTAAAACAATATTATGTTGTTGTTATAACATTCTCAAAACTAGTCTTATATATTTTACTTTATAAATTCAAAATATAAACTTTTAAAGATGGTGCCAGTGAAATAAATAAACGTGTGCATAATAAATTTGTATTTTCATAAAAGAAAGATAGTTGTATTTGCTGTGTGGACTTACTTCCTATTTTCCCTGTTGTTAATTTGTGGTGATGGTTTATATTCCGTGGAGGAGCCGTTTTGCTCTTCCTTGCTACTACTGCCATTGTGTTCATCAGTCTCTTGTGGAATGTCTTGGGGCAAAGCTTGCCTAACTTTGTCCACTATCAAATAGAGGGAAGGGTGAAATTATATTTTCACTAATGATATATTTACATCTACTTTTTGATTATCATAATCACTATTATCAGGGTCAACAAGATGATAATTATTATATTCATTTCATTGTCATTATGATCATCATCATAACCATTACTATAAATATTATCATCACATGATCATTGTCTTCATTCTTATTATCACCATTTTCATAATCACTATGAAAATTATTGGTATCTTCATCATCATTATAACCATAATTGTCAAAATATTATTATCAACATTACCACATTAGTACTGTACTATTATATCTTATCTCTGTATATTTGTATTGGCCTACTGAATATTTAAGTCAAGATATCCTGTAACACCACCTAGTGGCTTAATTATTCAACAAAACATTTTTTTGAGAAAGGGGGACACTGACTCAAACCCACCCTCGGCACGGTGCTTCATACTATGATCAGGCACTATGTGATGACCACCACCTCTGAATCCAAGATACATTACTAGATATTTACATTTTTAACAGCCACAAAAGAATTTGTATCAAAATCACCAAAAATCAAGGCTTGCAGAACTTACAGTTGATTTCAGATATAGGTCGATCTCGTCGGTCGCTGTGTTTTGAAGATACACGTTGAGGTACAAACTAAAGAGCAAAAACATTGTTATAAATCATTAGGAAAAGGTAAGGAAACTAAGGATAGAAAAGGAAAAGGAAAGATAAGAAAGCATAAGAAGGAAAAAAGGAAAGGAAAGATAAGCAAAGATGGACATGGAAACATAAAGGAAAGGGAAAGAAATGATAAGGAAATATAAGAATGGAAAATGAAAGACTGATATAGAAATGTAAAAGAAAGGAAAATGAAAGAAAAGATAAGGAAACTAAGAACGGAACAGGAAAGATACGATAAGGAAACATTAGAAATGACAAGGAAAGGAAAGATAAGAAATATTAGAAGAGAAAAGGAAAGAAAGACAAGGAAACATAAGAAAAAATGTTATGGCAATTTTAAGAACACAATAGAAAAGGAAAGATAAGAAACTATAAATAAGGGAAAGAAATGGAAAATTTGGGAACATAAAATGAAAAGCAAGGAATAGAACAAAAGGAAGAGAAAAAAATGAAAGGGTTCAGGATGGAAAGGACAGTAACACACTTTGACATGATAAAGAAAGTAACACACTATGACATGATAAAGAAAGCAACACGCTATGGAAAGAATCTCTAAGAATTGCTGTGTGGGCCGAGTAACAAAATACCAAACTATTGTAATAATTATTAATAATCATCAAATTAATTGTTAAATTAAATTATTAGAAAAAAAAAAAAAAAAAATATATATATATATAACCATTAGACCACGGAGGCTTCATGGTTGAACAGGTTCAAATACCACCAGATACACTCCATTACACAATAGGAACGGCTAGAAACAATATAGGTACTTATATATATATATATATATATATATATTGGATAAATAATTAACAGCACATTTCTACATTAGTTTATGGTTTATTTTCTTCTTTTATGTTGTTAAGCGCCTCAAGGTTGTGACAACGTGAGGCACTATATAAATCCACACTTATTTTTTTTACATATTATTATACTATAGGTAAAATATGCAATATATTAACAAAGAATCAATGGATATCAGTAACTGTTGGCTGAAGAGTGAAGTTATGGACAATATTCACATCATAATGGTGGTGTTGATCATATCAGTGACAGTTGATGGGGCGACAGTGATCATAATAGTAAATGTTTGTGGTGTGCAACTTTTAATGCAACTTGTAATGATAATTATGGTGATGATGACAATGATGATGATGTTGATGATTGATAATGATGGTAATGGTGATAGAGAAGAGAATGATGATAAGGACAATTATGTGTATGTGCTGCCTGTCATATTTGTGATAGTAATCATGGTGGCTACAATGACAATGGCAATCATGTTGATTATTATGTAAATAATATTTACCTTGACGATAATGGTTATTACATAACAAAGGCTGATAAGAGGTATAAGTGAAGATGATGAACAATGAAATGGTAACTATAGCGATAAATAGTGGTGAGATAATGATGGCACAAAAGTATCACTACCAAAGTTGTTGTCACTGTATACTTACTTGTATTTCCTCCTCATCTACATCAGGTACATAGGATGGATTAGAGTTCCTAACTTTTTCTAGCAATTTCTTTGCTAATTCTCTGTTTAGTGACTCATTTGATACTGTGAAAAATGGATTCTGAAAAGAATACAAAAAAAATCACATCATTTGCTTGTACATCACCATTCAAATGTTCTTCCTCCATGTTAATTATGAAGTTCTTGCTAACCTGAACATCTGGGGCCATTTTAACGCCATGCCCACATCATGTGCAGTTTAATGCCATACACATGACAGACTCGGTAAAAGGTGGTATACATGTGAGCAGTCATTGACCACAAACTACATGAATTTACTGACCACGTAGCTAGTGTGGTCACGTAACGTATTGATGGGACAACATACAGCGCAATCACACTGTAAAGTAAAAGAAAAGTAAAGTTTATGGTTTAAAAACTATGTCCCACATTGATATTGTGTGATCCAAGGGGGGGAGGGGCCCTTTTGGAAGGTTAAAAAAGAAAAAAAAAATAGAAATGAAGAAAAAGAAAAAATTGACCCCCTTTTTGGACATCTCCGGATCCGTCCCTGTCATCTGAATTTAAATACCAAATTGGCAAAACCATTAATTGTCCAAAAAGAGAGGAAGACAGGGATGGATCCAGAATTTTTCAAACAGTGGGGAACAATATATTCAGAATAGATAAACGAGTATCGCTAATTTCAATATACAGTCGACTTTCCCATTTACGTACACCTTGGGCTGAAAGCAGTTCGTAATTGAGAAAATTCGTAAATAAGAAGTTCGTAAGAATAGTGCCCTCAAGTTTAAAAACGCCAAGTTGTAGCCTATAACTAGGCCTGCCTACCAACATCTAGGCTTAATTTTGCATTTAAGTGTTCAATAAACATTTATAAAAATCGTTGAAGAATCAATTAAAGGTTAATGCAAGACAAACTAATATATTAAATATCGATTCATAATAGGCTAAGGAAATCGTTCCATGGATAGACCGACCTAATCTCCCATGTCACTAATAGGCTGACTGTTCAACATACAGTGGTGGTTTAGCCAAGGTTTAGCTGGGCCTAGCAGCAGCTCTCTGCTAACTTTAGCTGGCATCTCTCCGTAATTTGTAGCAAATTAGTAAACAAACATTAATATTAATTAGAGGCTTATTATATATTTACTTTAGTCAAGAAATTTTGGATAATTTAAAAAAAGAAACGGTTCCTATTTTTTTTCGACCTTCCTGACTTCCAAACATGTGGTTTTGGTACCTGTAGCATTGAATGATGGGTAATTGCTGATGTCATCTTCTAAAAATAGAGCAGCTTGCTAATTGTTTTTTGACAGTGAAAAACAAATAATATAGATGCTTATTGAATATCCAAACAGATTTATTCTTAAAAGGATAAAAAGTTGATGTTTACCATACATTTATACTCGAACTAGCTGATTGGATTTACAGTGGATTTAGACCGCAGGTAACCATAAGAAAGAGTAGGGTAGGCCTCCCTGGGTATAGGCTGTCCTTTAGCCTAGACAAGGTCGGCCTAGCAGCATGCACTGCCTGCCTGAATTTCGACTAGTTTTGATTATTTTACATCATGTATTGGTTTGACTTTTCTAAGCCTAAAGTCGTATGATGTATTTATGAAAAGTACTGTACAGTATAAACTAGTACTATAATGCATTTTTTACTTTTGTGATACGTTTTTTCTTAAAATAAATGAAAATAGCAAAAATTAGATGAATAAATCTAGCGATGACGTCATCGGCCAAACGTTCCTAAATGAGAAGTTCGGAAATGGGAAGGTCGACTACATGCATTGAAATTTAAAAATTTAGTGGCAAAACATTTGGGGGGAGGGGGCAATGTGCCTATGTGCCTCACTTTCCCACTACTGGATCCGCCCTGGAAGAGAATTTAAATAACTGTTGCACCAACAAGAAAAGAACATCAAATTATTGGCAGGACATTGTTATCAATAATTAAAAACACCACGAGGCATTTAATAATACAAACTGTATATCATGAACCTGATCGTGGGCTCAATATTGAGCCCTATCGTGTAGCAAACATGTTTCAAGAATACAATTTTCATTATCAATAATCATTTGAATGGGGTTTATCAGGGCTGTAGTCTAGGTACTTTCATTATAACCAAAGGTTTGAACCGTGTGAATGGCCTGTACAATCATCCAAGTCTATAACAAAGTGAAGTACCTTTTCTGGAAAAATGTGATGATAAATACCCACCACTTCCTTTCCTCTTACACGAGATCTACATTTTACAAGACTTTATATTTGCAAGATTGTGAGATTGACGGCCAGTTGTTTGCCTAGAAACTGCTAAATGTTAAGAGCAGGAAACTTGTCAATATACTATGTTGTCGTGCAAGTCAAAGTCTTTCACATAAGTAATTTATGTGCACAGGAAAAAAAACATGCCATATAATTTATGGAAACATGTAAACTTTGTCAAATTAATGATTCGTTTTTTTCCTGACTGATTCCATGTGCTGAAAGATGGCTGGAATGGAGTGATCATTACCAAGTGAGTAACACAGTTGACATGGGCTCAAACCGTAATGTGCGGATTCATTCTTTTTTTCTTAATCCATATTTACACTTCAAATTATCTGCTGTCTATTTCAAGTTTTTTGACTTAAAATGTTTCAATTTATGTATTAATTTCAAGTAATGTACAGTAGAACCCCTATTAAGGGGACATCTTCGGGACCAGAGTGTCCCTATTCAGGGGACACTAACTGAAAACGTGACATTTTTTTTGGCATGTTTTCATACAACACTTTGGAAACCAGTACATTGTACTGAAAGTATATTTCAGAATAAAGAATAAATAATTAAGTAAACCAAATATTGTTGACTTACCTTCAGAAGGACATCAGCAGTGGGCCTCCTCTTAGGGTTCTTCACTAGCGCACATTTAATAAATCCTCTGAATTCTTTTGACCATTTCTGTGAATCTTTCAACTTTGGCGGAACAAAATTGCTCTTAGACATGAGAAATAATGCCCTAAAAAAACAAATATGTAAATAGATAAGATTATGATACAGATTATGAGCTGAGCGTTTGGCCAAGGGGTAATGTTCCAGCTTTTTGTTTTGAAGACCCCAGTTCAAATCCAGCCAAGTTTGGATTTTAATTGGAGTTCGCTTGGTTTGACGAGACAGGGGACATGGTACTGGCGCTGTATTATTGGCTGCTGTGGGTCCCCAGGGGCCCAGCCGAATTTCAAATTCCAAAATTGGAATAATGACAAAATAACAAATTTTAATAAATAAAAAAAATAAAAAAACAATGCCCCCTTGTTGCATGTGAATGAAACTTACAAAAAAAGTAACTACACGAAAGAACATTCAAATAAATTAAGTTGAATGTGAAATACCTGAAACTTGGTAAGAATAATTTAAGAGGCTTGACATTGCTGTCAAACATTCTCATACCTCATTGGATGCAGATCAAACATTGGAGGTTGAAGCTCTGCTAGTTCAATAGCCGTGATGCCAACAGCCCAGATGTCACACTGTAAAATAACATTGTTACAAACATTATTATCTCTTAAATGTCCTAGCACAATATAATACCTTTGTATAATTTGAGACCTCTTCCTATAAGTACAGGCCTCTTCAACAGGTCCAGATTTGATCAAACAGTTAATATAAAGAAAAAAATAAGGGTTAAAGATTTAAATATAATATTAGATTATACCTAAAGTGATAATGATGATGATGATATTGATACTGATGTTAATATTATGATGATGGTACTAATAACAATAATAATAACAATAACAATAACAATAATAATAATAATAATAATACAATCTGTCTTACAATGGATGCTCATTCACCAAAGTGGTGTTCTATCATGAGGCGGTATATGTACCTTTCACATATCATGAAAACTTACCTATAAATGAAAAACTATCTGCTGCTGCTGATGATGATGATTATTATTTTGATAATATATAAATAATGATAACAATGATGATGGTGATATAATGATAATAATTATTGTGCTAATAATGAAAATTATGATATAATGATAAGGATGATGTTATTATTTTTACAGTACAATTTACACCACTTAATGCAAACTACTAATAATGTATTACTGTCTTGTTTAAGCCTGTCATTACTATATTTGTTAATCACATTCATTTAATTCAATGCTTAATCATTTTTAATTATTCAGTTTTTACATATACACATTCAGTTGCAGCTATTGTTTGTTTATATTATGAGTGACCTTTGGTAAAGGTCACCTTCTTAACTTGTCAGCTTATTTGACTACAATGCACTTTCTGTGGTTATGTTGGAGATCAATATTATTGATCTCAGTTTACAACAATTTCAGGGAAAGATATAAATAATTTGGATAAAAAAAGATGCATGCCAAAATGGTAATAGTATTGTATTGCTTTGCTATATATTGCTATATAACCAAAAAAATGTAGTATATATTTCATATTCTGATAAGTCTATTTCCTACAATATCTTGTGTAGGTTTTCATAAGCAAAAGAAAATTATCAGCTATTGGGAATGAAGATGTAATTTGATAGTAAGATGCTTGCATTTATTACAAGGGTTCTGGATTACTAATTTTCCTCTCATTTATTATGCCAAACAAAATACAACAAATTTAATAAAGCATCATATGTTGAATATGGAAGAAATTCCTTTATAAATTTAATAAACAAAATAAACATTTAAATACTAAAAATTATATTATTCTATGAAAAATGAACAATATTTTACTAATATATTAAAATTCTTTAGTACTACAAAACAATTGGTAAATTGTGTATTGACTAATATACAGATATTTTTTAATTCATACCGTAATTAAAGTGATGTTGACAGAATAAATGCGTAGAGCCTTTAGTATGCTAGGACCTGTACAGTGTATATTTATAGGTTGTATAGCAATAAATGCGAGACTTGATCATGGAAATACTGTATAGCTCCACGATTTGATATAGAATTCAACAAGGGCGCAGTAACAATGTACAGGAAGCAGTTTAAGTTGTACTATTACTTCACTTCAGGATGTTGACCTTCAGCTAGTATCCACTACAGAAAGTATATTTATGTCATTTATAAAGATATATCAGCAATTACTATAGTACCCAGGGGATAAGATGAAGGGGTTATCACTTAACATCTAGTTATACCAGATGTAGGCCTAATTATTAAAGGTATCAAAGGCTAATACTAATAACTACATGAATCAGTGCTTGCTAGTTATACTCAGTGGGATAGGATGTCATTCACTTACATATGTCATGGATAATAATACAGTACTAATTATCATTTGCAAAATAGATAATTATGAACAAGTTGGCCTTTCCAATGGCAAAAATTATGTCATTTACCTGTGACATAGAAATAATTAATGACACAATTTACTTGCAACAAATAGATATCTAAGGATATAGTACTGAAACTGGTTCTCCTAACTGAAAAATGACGCAATTTACTTGCAAAACTGAAATAATGATGTGCATCTACTGCAGTTGGTTAGCCAGTAAAATGATGCCATTTACTTTCAATATATAGTAGACAAAAAATAATAAACATACACCACTGAGTTGGTTCAAACTGTAAAATGGCACTACAGAATTTACCTGTGATATAAAGATAAACAAATGATCATACTAGTTGGCCATTTACAGCTTTTCATAAGAATTCAACGTCAAAATGCTTTTGAGGAACTGATTTCATGTAACCCTAATCCAAGGTCTACACTACAGTAAGCTAATAAAATATGTTAATAGCGAACACTTTTTAACTATAAATGTTGAGAATACTAATCTATGCTGTGGCTATTAACTGTGTAGATCTATTTAAATTTAAGATATTTTAAATGATTTTACAATGCTATTAAACATTGTGTTGAAACTTTGATATCTGTCAATGACACAAGAATTATAATAAATGTTTATTTCAATCATTATCATTTATTAACATTCATGAAATAATAATCCAACTATCAGATACATAATCTACTATTGCTTTAATGCTTCTTTGCATTAGATTTTTATTTAACTTTATTTTTAACCATTTTTTAAAACTCTTGACTGCAATATTATAGAAAGATATATAATAAATTTTGTAATAAATTCCAAAATAGATATCACAGGGAATTAGTTAATGTGAACAAAAGACTTGTATGTATAAACTAATAACCAAAGTTTAATGCAGAAAAATCAATCAAATTGTTTAACAAATCATTTAAGGATAGTTTTATCAGCACCTTTGAATAATAATTGTATAGTATCAATGTAATTAATTTCTACGTATGGTATGCCAAGGAATCAGGGAAAAAATTATTTTTATCAGCCAACAAACTGATCTAATACGGAGCATAAAGACTGTACTTTTTGACAGAAAGTAACAGAGAATTAAATTAAATGTATCATCCTCTGAATCACGTAGGACTTGAAATAGCAATGAATTTTGTAAATGTTGAACAGATAACTGTATAATGATATGTATAGTTGTAATAGGCATGTGCGGTTGTACATAATATAGTATTTATAGAAGATCAAAAACTGAAAGATCCAATGATTAATCTCGGATAAAATAGTATAATAAAAGTAAAAATTGTCGGGATTCAATATTTCAACATTAATTATGTCATCATCAGGAATATCAATGTGAAGCATGACATTTGAGCCCTTAAAGGCAGTAGATAACAGTGGATACAAGGCTGTGCTAGGTAGTGAATCATGGTAGATGATTATGGCCATGTAGGATGGTATGGCATAGACCATACATGGTGGATTACAGAAATGTAGGATGGTACGGCATAGACCATGAATGGTAGGTGATATGGCCATGTAGGATGATATGGCATAAACCATGAATGGTAAATGATCACAGCCATGTAGGATGATGGTATGGCATAGACCATGCATGGTGGATGATTACAGTCATGTAGGATGGTACAGCATATACCATGAATAGTAGGTGATCATGGCAATGTAGGATGGTACTACGTTTGCAGGATGATGGCACAGTATAGCATAGGCCATGCATGGTATGTGATCACAGCCATGTAGAATGATGGTATTGCATACATTATGTATGGTAGAGGGTCATGACCATGGATGATGGTATGACACATGCCATGGTAGGATTAGTAGGATCCTACTTTAAGGGTAAATGGTTGTGGTCATCTAGGATGGTATGGTATAAACCAAGCATGGTCAAGATCATGGATACTGATGGGATGATTTACATAGACTATGCATGGTCATATAGAACAGGTGAAGTCCATGCAAGTAGGAATGGACCATGTATGGTAGATAGTCTTGGTCATGTTGCATGATGATCATTATGTAGCATGATGAGGTATATAAACCATACACAAGGTCAGTGGTATTAAAAATGAATCAGAGGCTCCTAGCTCTATGCTGGGGCTGCATAGTACAACTGTAGCGGTACAAGGGCAAAGTCCTCCAATTCACTCTGGTGTTTTAAAGGGCATTAAAAAAAATGTATATCACACATTCCAACACATGAAGAACCCTGCTTGGCTGATTTGGGACCCATGGTTTGAATATCTTAATAAATCCAGGCCTCTGGCTATAGCCAGTACAAGCACATAGGCCTTAAATCACTGCACATGGTGGACATAGGATGGTGAAATCTGTAACCATTGTCCTAATAGTAGCTGTCATATCTAAGCATTGAGCATAAGACAGCCAGTATGGACAGTAGATTTCTAGCAGGTGTATGGGTGTTATATATTCATAATTAGACATTGGCCTTAGGCAGAACCGTGAACTTGCCACACAAATGCACAACTTACAGGAGCAGGACTGGCACGCTAGCTTAATTATCTAATTAAAAGCCTAATTAGAGTGCACCTACCTGGAAATTGTAGCCTCCTTTACGCTCAACTGCAGCTACTTCGGGAGCCATCCAGTATGGGGTACCGATGAATGATTTTCTTTTGGCTATTGTTTGTGTGATTTGTGCAGAAACTCCAAAATCAGCTGTGGGAGAATAGTAACAACCATTTATGTTAAAGTCCATATCAAGTCAATATAAATCATCCGTACTGTAAATCATCGGTATAAACTTAACATTCAATTTATCTGTATTGTCAAGTTAACCTATTTATAATATGTTTCCTGTTGTAGTGATTATGATATTCCGTGTACATGTGAATGCCCAGTAAATGTGGCAGTTACAGTAACATCTTCCAATTACGTACTCCTCCGTCCGAACAGGGTTCGCAAATGAGAAAATTCGTAATTCAGAAGAGTTCAAATTTTCAGCATCTCAGTGTGGTAAGGGTAGGCCTTGGCCATGCTACAAAGTACAGGGCTAGGTAGGCCTAAGCCTTGCCATGATAGAAAAATTTTGTCACGAAATATGAATTGGATTTTACTGTTTTCTGCAACAAAATAATACTTCACAGAAGCCAAAATTACCTGTGCTCACTGTGAAGTATTCATTTAAAGTGATTTCCAAATGAAAACATAACCATATGCCCAAAACGAGCGCTTTACCGGTATTCTTTTCGTAAAGATCGCAAATCCATTTGAATAGTGTCCCCAACAATCAAAAGTAAGATTTACTGTACAGTATGTCTGAATAAGCATGCACAGCTCAAATACAATATATCTCGGCTGAAAACGTTTGATATTTCTTGCTTTAAACTTAGTTTCTTATCACTTCATTGGTTTGAATGTTTTCTCTCTTTGCTGAAGTAACAATTTAAATTATTTCGGAAGACTTTTAAATACATTTTAAAGTGTTTTTGTAGTTAAAAACGATCGTTCATTATGACGTCATCGCCTCAAATTTGGTTCGTAAAATCTAGAGTTCATAAATGGGAGGTTCGTATTTCGGAGATGTTACTGTATTTAGAGGGGTTTTTTTTTCAATTTTGATAATGTTTAAAACTTTAATGAATATATAAATAATGAATAAAAGTCTGCTTGCTGTTTGCCTAATATTTAATATGTTTGACTGCAGCAACGAGAGTTCCTAAGGGGAAGTAGTTAAACCTTTAAAATGATTCCAACACCACTCACATACTAAAAATAAATGATACAGTAATCATAAAAAAATTGAAACAGATAAAAATGATATTTTTTGTCTCACTTTATTCTACTAATACCTGAAAAAAATGTACCATACACCCTTGTACCACTGCTTTAACTTCAATCATTTATTACCGAGTCATAGAATTAGTACATAAGGTAGCACTAGATATCCTAACACTATGCCAAGAGGAAATAGCGGACATGTCGCATATAATTGCAAAGCCTATGTACATCACTGGATGTCTCCAAGGTGAATCCAAACGTTTCTCTGCTGATACATCAGGAAGCTGGTAGAATCGTGGCTTGGGGAGCTTCTCCCTTGAGACACGATCCAACTGAGGGCATTGATTCCGAGCTGGTTTGATTAAACTGTTATAAATAGCCATTCAGCATTGGATGATGATGATTTCACTCAAGTTATCTCTCTTGATCTGTGATCAGTCAACTATGAGTATTCTATTGATAACATCCAGGATTTCCAATTTCCTTTTTAGTTTCTCAGGTATTAAAGCCCACCTTAGTATATGTCAACCTCAGGTAAAAGCCCACCTCAGGTATAGGCCCACCTCAGGTATAAGCCACCTCAGGTACATAAGTCAACAAGAATACAAACTAATCCCTAACTTTAGAGTAATTTGCATTTAAAATACTTCAGCCGCCGGGTATAATCCTACACTATAAATTTAGAGTGGTTTGGAATAAATATTTGAATCTTTGTGAGGCCTAGGCTAGCTCTTAGGTAGACCTATTAATCTATCTTATAGTGGAAACAGAAGTGCACACATTGTAACTTTGTGCTGAATAGTACTGTTTGCTCTGTTGATTGTGTTGTAAAGCAAGCACACAAACAAAACAAAGAGTGGTAGGTACATCCTGGTACATTTTATACAATAAATACTGCAGTATGCATATTCCTACTGCTGCTGCTTTATAGGTCAAAAGAAGCAGCATGGACTCCTAGGTGGAGCAGATGGAATCCGTGGCTATGGTCATGTGTTGTGTATTAAATGGTATTTGGTATTGAATGTAAACATCATGGTGTTTATCCAAATATTCTTTTCTTGTTATCAGAATTACTATTTTTTATAATGCTATCTTATTACACTGTCACTTGACAACATTCCAAAATTAACTATACAAACTTTTGATGCCTGGTTATTTAACAGAACTAAGAATTGATGATTGACAATACTTAATAATTAAATTAATTGGAATCAATTCTAATTACATTTACACTTTTCATAATTAGAGAAAATTGACAAAATTGGTAAGTTAATAAATGACTTGTTCCACAATTGATTACTTTGATCTGTAATGTTTACCAAGATGTTATGCAGATGTTACACAAGATTTTTTTTTCTTTTACTTTGATATGAATTCACACACAAATATTAATGATGTAACAATTTGTTACATAAAGCCAAGTTTTCATAAAACTGCTACTGTCCCTATAGTATTTTCACTGCAATTGCTACACTGCAATTCAACAACCCAAAAGCTATTGGCGATAGCATGTAGCAATTGTATGGGAACTATGCTTTACTCTGTTATATTTTGCTAGATTTGTGTACATGTGAATTTGATGTGTTAAAATCCTTAAAAAGTTAAAAGTTGAGGGCATGTATTGATGACAATTATAAAATTTAGATGAATTAGGTTTATTGACTCAGAAAATGGTTTCAAGAAATTCATCCGGACAAGAACATTTTTTTTTTAATTGCACAAAGAAAATTTTGGCTCCACACCAGAAAAGGTTATTGGAATGTAGCAATATTACTATCAGGTGACACAAAGGTGAAAAGGTAATAACAATTGTAAGAAAAATTCCTTACCTAACTTGACATCTCCATGATCAGTCAGTAATATATTTGCACCCTGAAATAAAAAAAAAGAAGTTGAGCACTTATGAAAATGGATTCCTATAATGTTGTCATCGCCATTGATATTCTGAGTGGAAGCGTGCAGCGCAGCAGCAAGGCTTTGAGCTCTGCAAAGGTCGCATTGTTTGTGTCCTTGGGCGAGATACATGTATGTTTGTCTCTCTTCACCCAGGAGCAAAATGCTTACTTAGTTGGAGGTGATTGATTTTTGGAAGGAAACTGATGTAAAGGACAACATTAGGAATAGGCTAAAGCATGGCTAAAGTGAGCAGGAATGCTTCACATTGATTCTTCAATGATCAGAGAGAAACATACTTATATGACAGACTGTTAGAAGGAAAACACATTATATTAGTAGAACCAAAAATTAGTAATATAATATGTTGGCTATTCTGTTTTTGATCTAGGGATCAGTTTGAATTGTTATTAGAACTATCAAATGAAAATTATATTTATAGGACATTTTTTGAACTTAATAAATTATTATTTTAATTTCAATTTTCATATTTTTATGGATGATATTTTGTTAACTTATCATGTATTTATATTATGTTATTCAGCTGCAAAATATTGATATGCAAGTATGTAGAAATTCCTGTAAATGTTACAATAGATAGTATACAAAGCATACTCTAAATGTGGTGGTCAAACTAGCAGTACCCACTGTGTGTCTAATGAACCATAGAGATTGTTAAGTCCCTGGTTCAAATCCTTTTGTTTCTACTTGTGTTTCAACAGATGGGCTAAAATTCAGTAGCCCTACTACACAGATGTGTATAAGAGACAGTCCTAACACTATGCCAAGAGGAAATAGCGGACATGTCGCATATAATTGCAAAGCCTATGTACATCACTGGATGTCTCCAAGGTGAATCCAAACGTTTCTCTGCTGATACATCAGGAAGCTGGTAGAATCGTGGCTTGGGGAATTAGTCTTGATCCTTTTTTACAACATATCAGTGATTTTGCAAGCTGTAGGACAATTAAAACAAACAATTACCTACCTTAATATCTCTATGCATTTTTCCTTTGTTGTGCATGTATGCAAGACCTGTTAATGTTTCCCTACAGACATAAGCAATCTGCAATTCTGTGAGTTCACCACTTTCTAAATATCAAAGAAAAAAATATGTTTACATAATTATGTAAAGTAGATTATATACTTTAAACAATACACAATATTCATGTCTTCCAAAATACGCAATTTTTTCTGTTTGAATAAAGAAAGTAAAATTACATAGGCAGATGGTGAAAAAATTGATATTGTAGCAAAGAAATGTATTATCTCACTTTCTGAGTAGTCCCTTCATGTCAATTTAGTAACAAAGCAAATTGTTGAGCTGAACCCCAGGTCTCGCATTCTGGTTTACAAATGTTATGAAATATTCCACTCAGTCTTAATTTATACAAGGAGACTCTACCAAAATGTCCTACAATCCTATCTTTGACAAGTTCTTGAATTTTGTCAGCTTTTTCTTTGTCCTTTAGTAGATTGCAACATTTTCCTTCCTTTGGGAGGTACCTATGAAAGGGGACACTTTTTATGGCCAAAAATGAGGTAAAATATATTCATTTAACAGTGGGGACAACAATTAAATAACTTAACTATGCAAAATGCCAAATCAATTTAAACATTTGATTTTAATATAGCGCAACAAAGATTAAACTGACTTTTTTTTTTTTAGTCTTTGATTTTTTTAAACTGATATAGAGGTAATTATACAAATAGTCATACTGCAAATCTAAGATCTTAAATTTACTCAATATCACCTTACCGTTTAAATATCATAATAAACATTATTAACATCAACATTCATCTTTATCATAATTACTATCATTTTTCCACCATTTCTATATTTGTAAATGCTAATGATTTAGTTTGCACACAAACTAAAAAAATGCTTTACTGAAGAATAGAAACTGAAACAGTAAAACTCTATAAATATACAGAGCTACCACCAATACATGTACTACTAAACACCACTTTATTATACACAAACTATGAAACATATAGCATGGACACACTATAATTTATAACAAGAACAGAAAATGAAATTGTAAAAATCTAGACTTATACAGTACATACACTACACTATAGTAACATACTATACAGGCCTTACAACTTCACCTAAAACACCTGACATACCAAACAATATTATCCATAAAATATCACATTTTACAAAAAAAAAAACCATCTCTTTCCATATTGATAAAAAAATTCTTTAACGATGATTGATGCAATTTAGAAACCGGGATAAAGTAAAAGTGAAATTCTTTAAGCTGTTGACGGACAGCCGACTAGGGGCGATATAATTAAAACTTTCCTGCAACTGACTTGGATTGAGGAAGCTAGACTAAGCAGTTTGGGTATTCCCTTTAAATTCTGACAAGTGTCTACTATAGTAGATCTTACAAAATTGAGCTGCTATACCATAAAACCTTGAATTGAAGCCCAGTGGGCTTAATCTCAGGATGAAGCCCATCTCGATTTGAAGCCCCTCTTTAGTTTGCAAAATTAGCCTCAAAAAGAAGCACAAGGGCTTCCTTTGATGATAGCATAGAGTAGGCTTCTTTCTGAGATAGTACAGTACATACACTGTAAATGAATTTCAAAAAAACTAAATAAATTAAAAACTAGCTTGGTTTATACAGTAGTTTAGGTGATTTAATGCCAATTAAATACACTCCATGATACAAATTGATGTTATATTGGACTTATTTTATAGTACAAATTCACAAAATGTACAGCATTTATTTTGAAAAGAAGCCCCCTCTTTTATTCTGCAAAAGTAGCCTTGGAAAAAAGCGCATCCAAAGTTCACTAAAAAAAGAAGCCCAGGGCTTCAATTTGAGGTTTTACAGTACAGAATATTGTTTTGGCTCGGAGTGGAACTTAGCTCCAACTCATAATAATTATAGCCTGGTATTTCAGCTTCTTATAAATAAGTTTATGTTATTTATGGTTAGTACAGTATATTCTTACTTTGGTAAAGGTCCTTATGGCATCAAAATCAACTTTTGCTTTATTCATGTGGTAGATCACAATTCCAAAGAATATTAATAGAATCAATCTTGGTTTTCTTTGCTAGTCATAATACTGTTTATGCATTTTATGTAATTATAATATTTTAAAGTGGTGTTTTTTCTGCCATTTCAGCATTCCTGGCCTCTCACTCCAATTACTGGCTTTGGGTTATCTATCCTATTCGAATCTAACAATTTAATTTTATTGTATAAAATTGGGAAATACACTGAACATAGTATAGGCCTAAACAATATTTCCAATTATTATTGAGAAAAAAACTTGAATAGTAGAAATAGAGTAGGCTATGGTCTCTGCAACACCTAGGGTTATAGATTTTACCAGTCCCCGAATCTAAAGCAGTCAATATTGTTTTATATACATCATATAGTACATAGATTGTACGAGACCTAAAATAGGAATGAAAATAATAAACACCAAATAGAACTAGGCTTACTTCCTAGACCTAGGCGATCGAAGAGCCTATCGCTCTCAGCCTCATAGAGGTCGCATCTCCATTGTTTGTGTGCGTCATAAACTACATAGCAACGCAGCCTAGAGATTGCACATCATGTGCGCATCATGCAACAGGGGTAGAAAAGTGCTATCATTTAGGGTAATGTTACTTTCTATTACCCGCTTCTTAACCAACCAGATGCTTAGAATATATGTATGCAGTATATAAAATGCAATATTTTAATTGCTTACTTTTAATAATTTGTAAATTAGAATGAGCAATGGGTTTCCTTGTCAATACTGTAACTAACTATTATGTTTCTAATCCTTGCATTGAGCTTAAGTTTGGTTGGTAATCAAATGAATATCAATAGATAGCAAATGTCTATAAATCAGCTAGAACTGAAATCATCTGATCTGTGCCAAATTGGATCTATTCTTTATAGTCAATCTTCTAAAATGGATGATTAAATTTTCTAATCTAAAATATATACAATTTAACACAATATTAGCCTTGTATTAATTTAATAACTCTATGATAAAGTCATAAGTAGCTGTTTACAGAACACAAGAACAACATAATTTAAGAAACAATAATGAAAAATGAAGGCAGCCATCGCAAACACATTGTACAACTGAGATGATACTTAAAATCTTTAAAATTTCCTTCATTTTACTTTTGACATTTCAACATTCAGCTAATTGTCAATTTATCTAAAGGTCAATATTACTCTTCCCTATTGGAGACTGATTTTAGACTGTGTCACATTGGAGACTGACTTCAGACTGTGTCACCTTAAAAACTGATTTCAGACTGTATCACATTGGTACTTTACTCGCTTACATCACATTTTGCAATCTTAATCATCATCATCCAGAACATTAGGAACATGTCTATAGAGGGCACTAATTATTTGACCTTCAAAATTTTTAACAACAAAATGTATCATTATTCATAAATAAAAACTCTGTTTCAACATTATGATGCATTTTTAAAAACAGATATTATATACAAATAGATATTAATTTATCATTATAATATTTTAAAACTCCGTTTCAACATCATGATGCACTTTTTTTAAAAGAGATATTAATTATTTAAAATTAAGTTAATCTTTCCAAAACATTTTATGAAGGAAACTTTCAACCAGGATTTGAATTGGATTTATTTAGAAATTCTCAACAAAAAATAAGTAAAAAATCAGTAAAGACTGAATAATTAAAAAAAAAAAAAAAAAAAAAAAAAAAATTTTAGGATAGCCCTTTAAGGATTTCTGTTTTTCCGAAGGGGTCATTTTGACACAATAACAATTCTTCTTTGAGACAATAGGACAGATGCTTTTAAACATGTTTTTACCTGTGTAGTTTCCAATCTAAGAGTAGCAGACTTCCTATTGTAGAATTGGATTTTAATTAAAACAATATTTTGCATTGTCTAATACTATACTATTATTAGGGGAAACTTTAGATTTTTGTCTGTATCAACTTGTTTTATAACTTGTGGTATAATGTTCAATGTACTGTAATCTTATTTTTTATCTTACAGTATTCAAGCTAAATGTAAACAGTAACAGGCAGTCCTATTAACATTTGCTTGCTATTTGATTACATTGTTTATATTTTGCAATAATGTGCTGGATAACATTTACTCACAAAAAATAGCACCTCGATTTTCACACTAAGCTCTCTCTTAAGAGCAATTTAATGACATTATCAGATACAGTTACCATTAAAAGCAGACTGCTCCGGACAGCGGAAAGCTACAACCATTTTTACAACTTAAATATGATTCAAAGAAATTACAAAATCTTAAAAAGTAAGGAATAAAGACTTTACTTCAATATTCTGTACTTTTACGACTGCACTGCTATTCAGTATCTATTTTTAAATTCAACCTATTATAAAAAGTATATAAAATTCAATTAATATTTACCGCCACAGTTTTTAACAATTTACTAATTATTATTATTATTAAAAATCCACAGAATGCAATGGTCACCTACAGCAGTACAATATACTGTAAAGCTCTGTTTACACAGAATATGTAATGGTCAGCTACTATAGTACAATATAAAGCTCTGTCCACACTATCAAATTTTATGTGACAAAAAAAAATGTGTTTTTGCTGATATTTAGGTGTATGACATCATTATCCCAATATAAATAAGGGCACATCAAGCATATTTTTTGATTGTGGACAGAACTTAATATCTGTTTATTTGATTTCCAGTTTGATTTTGTAGATTGCAGAGTAGTTCAAGATGATCAGGAAATCCTTGAGCTGACTGTGCTGAACATTTCTAGAGAAACCATCCTCCAAGTGTCTTTAAAATATGCTTGCAAATTGTGTGACTCAGCATGTTAACTTTCATCTCTCACTGATGAATTTTATTGATGGCCTGTCTACTGTATGAACTTGGTGAAATTTAATATGTACAACAGATCACCATCACCACACAGGTAGGCTAAAACATGGGTACCATACTGTGTGTATATTAAACCCCATTTACACTTAAGGTTCAGTCTGGCCCAAAGAGTGGCCAAGGCTCAAGGGAATTAATAAGCATTGATCTAGTTACTACTTTAGAAAGTCTTATTATTAATATATGGTGTCCCTCAAAGACAAAAACATTGAACATTTGAATAAAAGGATGCACCAATCCTAGCTAACCACATAAATTACATAAGCATTTAAAAAAATAACCAAAATAACTCACGATGGTAGATGTCCTGAAGTGATCCGCCACCACAATATTCCATGGCAATCCATAGTTTATCTCGACGGAGGTAACTTCCAAAATAACCAACAATGTTCTGGTGTTTACAGTCTTTCATCATCAGAATTTCCTGTTGTATAATTGTGAAATCATCGCCTGAAATATTTAATCAAAATAATACATAATTAATTAATAAAAATTTGATGACAATAAAATAATGATTGAGCATCCAATGATTCAAATCCAATAAAAAAAATATAATAATAAAATACAGTGTAGAAGCCCTATTAAAGTGAGACCTTTGGAATCCCCTTAGTTGTAGGTGTGCTCCCTATAGGGATGACCCAAAGACTGTCCCGAAGCACGATTCTAATTGAAATAAACAAAATCATAATTATGTAACAACAAAAATATATTAAGGATATGATTAAAAATAAACATATCTTGGATTAAGTTTAAGAATTCCATTTAAGACTCATACATTTACATAGCTTAGCTACTGTAAGCCTACAGTATTACCTATTCATTTTAAGGAAGTCATGTAAACAAATAACACAGAACTACCCTCAGCAGATTGTGTATAGTATAGGCAGTCCCTCTTGATATGCTATTAGGCGTATCCGACTGGTCTGTTTTGAGCAGCTCCTTCTACTCGAACTGCACATGTTGTATTCAACTGGTTGCACAAGCAGCACAAACTCCTCACAAGAGCGGCTCGAACTCCTCGCTGTCTTTTAATGAGCACCACGAGCACACTCTCAGTAGTAAATCACTCCTCGGAAAAGGACCAGTCGAATACACTTATTATTTAACTATGTCAATAACTTGAGATATAGAGATGGGTGTGGTCTAAATTCAGATGATAGCTCAAATGTTATTCTGTTATAGAATTACCTCGGGGCCAAATATTTTCTTGTGCCCAGCTGTTCATATCGTGAATGAATTTATCCACCACAATAGTAGTAGTAGTTGTGAACCTTTATATACCTAATGCTTAAAATATTCGTCTTGCATGCTGTTGAAAGACGTTTTGGTATTGACTTTATTTGTATTTAAATCCCTAACGGTAATTTTTAAGCTTTGTTTGCAAGGTGGTATAACACCAAAAAGATGACCTGCTAAGAACTGTTGAATACAGTTATACTGTGGTCAGTGGGTATTATTCTTTGTCTGATGCTTTCCTATTCATTCTGCTAATAGGCGAACAGTAATATTAGTTAAATTTGCACACAATATGGGTCAGTTGATATTTAGTCCCTTGCTTATTCAATACTGTACCACTTAAAACAAAAGTAAGAACAGTTTCAGAACTACTTTATAATCATATATTTGTTTCCTATGTAAAAAAGAGGACATAATAAAATAATACCACTCATAGGAATATAGTAAACTGGTCAGTTCCCCTATAGAAAAGATATTCATATTTAAACTACAGTAGTTCAAAGTATACAATTGAGAGAATAGAATATACTATTTGTAGTGAAAATTATCTTTACATCAATATTTATGAATTCAGTTAATATTAAATAACTTGATTTAATAACACTAAACAGTATGAAATAATAAACCATTAATCAGTAGGCTATAATTATGTATTACATCATGTTAAACCTACAGTATTTTGATAGCTACTGCAGTGTTTGCCATGATCTCTATCCATTAATCATTTGTACACAACACACATTACATTACTGTACAGATATTTAAGTATGTGTCTACTACTAAAGAAAGGTGTGAGCCAGTGATCATCATAAGCCAGCAATAGGCAATTTAAGTACTTATCACCTAACAAACAATGTGCCAATGACTAATAACGTATTGTATGGACTAATGACTCATCAGCTAGCCCAGTCAATTTAACCCCTGACCTTTGCGTAACCTACTAAATCATAGGTAAACATGTTTTTCAGTGGTTTATTCTCTAAAACCACACATTCATTAAATATTTTGAAGCCTGAATCTGAATAAGAAACTGATATATTTTTCCATTAAATTTGGTTAAGTTTGTATGTGTGTATGTGTATATATATATATATATATATATGTATGGATATATGTATATTATATATGTATGTGTATGTATGTGTATGTATGTATGTGTATATTAAATTAATTTCCATGGGATTCAAATATGAGTTTTTAGTAAACACCAATAGGATACTTCCATGTAAATGGCTAAATTGTGAGTCCTATCGCAGTTAGGCCTAGTTTCCGTAGCAATTATATATTATCAAATTTAAAAAAACTATTCGAAAAAAAGGCACCACTTGTGTGGACTTGATAGTGACCACATATGCTCTGTGGAGTCCATGCAAACAGTCCTTATTATTGAATCGGATTGGTTGATACACAAGTTATGTTTAAACCTCGCTTTTTTTGTTGTTTACATTCACCTTTATTGCAGGAAACCTGGTTCAACTTTTTTTTTTTTTCATCACTACTACAAACTACTACACTAATGTATTGCAATTACTTAGGTAGGCATTTTATGAGTACACATTGTACCCAGAAGAAAAAAAAGTGTACAGAACAAACAAGAACAAAGGAGATAAAGTATAATTCTATGATATGCATTACAGACGAAATGTTTATCCGATACAGAAATATATTTCACAATTTCACTGAAAATTTGAAGTTTATTTTCAATTTTTAGACCTGTTTTTGTAGTAAATTTATCTGTTGTCAATAACAGATATAATGCAAACATGGCCTTTGAAAAAAACCAAAACATTAGGAGCTATATTTGCTGTGGCAAACTATACGATATATAAATTTTTACATATTAAGCTAGGTACTACAGTATATTAACAATTTAATAATTAGGCCTATAATTTGAAATTGTTTCATCTGGTTTTAATATAATATTGTAAATCAAACGGTTGTAAAGTAGGTTTGTGTAATTTATTCTGGTTTAGAAAAAAAAAAATTACAATAGCCATGTATTATTCTAAAATATACTGAATGCAAGTTTTCAAAATTCCAACAATTTATCATTTTCTAAATCATTAGATGCTGAAGTTCATGAGTTAGTGGAACTGAAATAGCAACTGATAGGAATGGTTAGGAACAATGGTGTCTTCCATGGCCACTATTTACATTCTATTTCACATTACTCACACTTCACTACAGAGATATTCTAAGAATTTTTGTCGACAGAAATTCTACAGTCCCAACAGTATGTTTGCTTATTATGAAGAATAAATTAATTGAAACCAGATTGAAAAATATTGTCTAGTACTTGTAATTATTTGATGATATACAGACATAGCAAATTATTGTAGCTACAAATACCATCTTTACTTTTTTTAACATTAAATAAGGTTTATCGTATAAATCATAATATCAATCAATATTAATTATGGTTTCATTACTAATAACAAATATTGATCATTTTTGCTATCGTTTATGGCAATCCTAAGGTTATTATGATAAAATTTAAATCATAATCATGCCCATCACAACAAGTACAATATTTTAAATAAGGCAAATCTAGAGTATGAGAGTCTACTCTAAGAAATTTGGTATAAAAATTTCTGGTAATCATCTGTAAAATAGCCAAGTACAATGGTAGATTTTTCCTACCAAATCTACTAACCTACTGTACTGTATTCAGGGCCAATGATATTTTGAAAAATAGGTAACTTTACTAATAAGGACTCCACCTATGGTATCCACCAGTGTTGTAGCTAGCAGGATTTGATTTGAGTGCCGCTATTACGGCGTGGGGTCCAGCAGCCCGCCCAAGGACCCAGTGGGGTGCAGGGAAAAAGCCCTGCTGGGGGTCAAAGGGGCGAATTCCCCATGAAGCTGAAAGATTTTAGCTGTTTTATAATGATTTGGATAGCTCTCCCACCTCTCTAGGCCTAGGCCTCAGGGAAACGCTACATGAAACAGCTCCTTATTGATTCATACTGTATTTACAATTTTCATTGCGAACAAAATATGTTCAAATGTATTAATAAAATCAATGACAGAAAGATCTAGTGTCGTAGTTATTTACCCAAATTTTCGACTTTCCACATCGGAATACACAGTATGGTATATTATGTGAGTGACATATTAAACTGATATTTTAATTAAAGTTTATACACATTTTGTGCCGGTCTGATGTTTAAAATTTGCTCTCAGTCCAGGTTACTAAACGGTAGAGCCCGTCGTACCCGGCGAGCGCCGACCAGCGTAGCTACAACACTGGTACCAACTACCAACTGGGAACACACCCACAGACAAGTTCCCAAATCCAACAAGAAACCCACATACATATCAACTAGGACCTTCTCTACCAACAGGGAACATCCCATCCAGTTAGTCCTACCTACAGTACAAGGAATTCCTAAAAAATAGGCCCATAAAGAATTTGAAGCCTCTTCCTGTTCTCTAATCCCACCTTGTATTATATAGCTGCCTATAAGTCACTGAAGTTTGTTATATTTTGATCATGTACAGTACGCCTAAATCAATTATTTTCTTTCTAGTTTTAACCAAGTATTCCCCACTCCTACATGCTGCCAATAGCATGCTTTGTCATATCCCCACTCTTCCAATTATATCCTATCAAAATAGAGCCTCATAATTCCCACTTACAAACAAGACGTCTATTTCCTAAACTATGGTATTCATTTAACTCATCCTGCTTTACAGTGGTATAGTTGTAAGTGACAACATCGCATCCTTTACACATGTGATTGTGAGCAAATTACAATGAAACTAAACCATATTTGGCTGATCTCGTTATTTCCTGTATTCCAGATGCTTGCTTACATCATCAGTCAAGAATAACAACGCTCAGTGTTATGGGATTGTAGTTGTACTGTAGTCAAACTCCATTTAGATTCAAATTTCCTTGACAACAGTTATCTTCAGCTTGCATAGTGAGATTTCCCAAATTTCATTACCTAACAGTTAAGTGGTACTTAACCTTATCAACTTAGTATCTTTATAACCAACAAAGGAATACTATAAATCTTTGTCTTCACATTCAGTGATTAAGAGATACTGTACGGTAGTAAATGTACCCAGAATATATTAACTTATGAAAGTGTGTGGCGCAGCAGAAATGCATTGAACCTACCAATCAAATGGTTTGAGTTTGATATTTCTTCTTCTAGCCCAACTTCCGCCCTCATCATTTTAACTCATTTTTGTATTACTGTGAATGCAGGATTTGACGGTAGTGAGTGCGAGAGAGCCCATAACACCTCAGCCCCACATTGGTTGGGAAAATTTTGAGAATATGCAACTCAAGGTGCCCAGATATTGCACTCATACTTTCAAAATCTTAACCGGTAGTATGTTTATAATGATAAACATAATATTTCAACAATACAATACAACAATTATTGTTATTTAGGGGGGTATGATTGCACCGTCTGCACCCAATGCATTCGCCCCAGTATTTATACAATTATTGAAAATGTCATTTGAAATCATATTTGATGACATAATGGGCCCCATACACAGCAAAAGTATTATGTTTAAAGTTCAATATTATTTTGTTTTATTAGGATGCCAATGATAAGACACGTTTACCACCCAGGGGTATGGGTAGCTAGAAGAATCATGATTTGGATAGAAAATGTGACTGTGGTTAATTATTATCAACAGACAAAGTTCCAAACCATTTTCAACAATATGAAAAATATTCGAATAGCATCATTTCTGCTTATTATGGCTAAAGAACTGTTTTAGGGATAATAAACCAAGTACAATGGATAACTTACTACGATATCATGTCATGTTGATAGCATCAACGAAAGCTCGCAGTAAGTTTACATCCATTGTGCTTGGTATATTATTAATGAAAGAATACTACAGTTAATATGAACAAGTTATAACCCATTCAGTTATGAGTATATCCTGTAACATATTTTGTCTGTGTGTAACCGGAGTAATTGTGCCTGCCATGAAAACCAATACAATCTGATTCTGATACTAATCCGTATTTCCTCATGACACAAAATTTACTACCAAATAATAACAACAATTTATATTAATTTATATTAATTTACGATATTCACATTACTATGTCTGTCTTCTTATCAAACAGAGTATCCAGCATTATGTTAACGATTTACAGATTATTATGATTATTATAAATCATTAATTTTGCATGTTCGGATCATGATGTATTTGAGTGGGTCCCAAAGGGAAAAGGTAAGATAAACAGATGAATTGTATTGCACAGTAAGAATGTCTAAATTTGGCATAATGTGCAACCAATGAATAGTAAAATAGCATAAACACCAACTGAACATCTGACTATATAAGGAAAATACAGATGTTTGTATATACATTAATATTTGGTCTACATACATGTATTATGATAAAAAAAAAATGTGGGTTTAAGCTTTCAAGTATAGAATAACTCAATTTAAAAAATCAGGTTGTGATACTCAAGGGTAGAGTTTCGTATAGCAACAAAATTATAAGGTCACTAAAGGCAAAATCGAAAAATAAAAAGCCTCCCCCACCAAAATTATGGCAATATAAACAAAATAAAATATAAATATTTAGAAACCCAGATTCTGATTATATGGTTATCAGGGGATCCATTTTCAGCATCATGAATAATTCAAGGCCAAATACTTTTTTTCTCAAGAAAACAAATAGAGGGGACCAGTACCTTCTTTTATATTTGGTCTTTTTCCATGTTATTACATTTTAACTAATTCTACCATCACCACGCAGTTAATCACTCCATACCAAATTAATCAGGAAGCTAAATATTTAGCTGCCTTGGGTTTAATTAAGTCAAAAAAGGTGGGTGGAAAATGCTTTGGAATTCATAACAGTTTGACCAATGAAATGTCAATTCATCCGTCTTAGCGATTAACATGTAATTTTTACTTACTATTTACCCAGTATTGTAAACTTTTTTGGTCCCTTCAAAATCTGAGAATCCCTGCGATAGTGTTGATTCATTTAATTTATTATAATATATTTTTATAATGTAAAAAGGACTAAAAACATGTTTTGTTTCCAATGAGGTTCTCAATAATTTTATTAAAAAAATAAATATCAAATGAACATAGAGAAAAGCATAAAGTATCTGAAAACAGATTAAAAAAAACCTACAAGTTCTTGTTGCACACTTTGTAACTGGTCATCTGGCACCATCATGGGTAATCATTTCATTTGTAATGTCTGTTATTTTTTATTTTCAATAAAAAGTATCACTTGTTGGACCTACCTGGTTCAATCTTGATAACCTTAATAGCTGCTAAGTCTCCAGTGGTTATCATGCGTGCCTAAAAAAGAAAGTGAACAATTATAATTAAAAATTAAATATAATGAATACAGTAAATAAGCATATACTAAGAATTTTGAAAAGACAATTTTATATTGTTGTCACATGTCGTGCACCTAGAGCGGTTATGGCAGAGTTGCTGCAAACTATAGCTACAGTATACCAGATTTGGTTCAAGCGGAAAACTCATGTATGGTTCCGTAGGTGGAACCAGACTGTTCCTAGTGCACCAAACCACTTCCATTGAATATAATCCACATAATTATTATTATTAATTATGCAAGCCAATTTAACGGGAAAATAACAGGATGTTTACATTTAAAAAGGCATTATGGTACAATATGGACTCATAAAAATACCAAATTACAGTATCATATTAGTAAGTAAAATGGTAACAATAACAAATATACACACATGTGACCTAAGGGCTTGAAAACAGGATATCTATTCCACCAACAGACACAATTACAATATGATTTACCTGTTACCAATTTAGGCTTATAACAGATAGCTGAATTAAATGGTAAAAATAATATTTGCTGTACAGTCAACAATAATTTATCTACATTAACATTGCAACTGAGATATATTGACAATGACAACAGCTCATCCCTGATTGAATACAATGGTCATATTTCAAAAACAATTTTACAGTTCATGCAAAAAAGCGAACATCACAACTGAAAATGTTACTACTGTATATTGGGCAGTTCAGCATTTGTCACCAATCAATATTCATGGTTATTTTTACTCAATCCAAATTATGGACTTAATGTCATAACTGGCACAATGCCTGGGGTTGTAGCCAAAAGGATGTCTCCTGGTAATGATCTCATCTCCACATGCCATAGACAAGAATCCACCATGGTAACCTATTTTTATGAGAATATGTCCACACCCAGAACAAGCTTACTCCCAGTACAAGCTCACCTCCCAGTATACAGTAAGCTCATCCTCAGTATAAGTTCATCCCCAGTATATAAGCTCATTCCTAACTACTAAGGATACTTATGATTACAAATCTAAGTTTAGCTAAAGGATGATATAAGGTACCGCACAGCTGAATACCTACAGTACATAGTCTCTTCTTTTTTTCTACAAGAGTTGGCTTACACTAACAGTCTGTTATGATATTGCGAGTTAGATGGCTACAGTGCTTTCCACTAAAATCACAGTGTTAATTAGGCATTTACCCATAGAGATTCTAACTCAATAATTGAAAAACTCAAATCACTAACAATTTTGTACATTTCTCCCTCTCTTCAAGCCCAATAAAAATATATCATCCTTCAATTAACTACAGTACTTCATTAGATAGACTTCCCAAAGTTTGGTTCAATATAAGTCATCATAAAAAAATTTTAACCGCAGATATAATACTCCTGGCCACGATTTTTGCCATGAAAATTATTTAGGGGAAATATGAAATCTTTACCCTTCAATATGGCTTCCTACATTGAGAATTCCAATGTGAGAGATAAGATATAGCTGTAAGAAATATCATAAGTTACTATGACGATGACCTTGACCTGATGAGGACAGACAAAATCAAAGCAATGCCAAATGTTGAAATTTAAGTAGTTCAATAATTAAATACAAAACCTCAAGATGTTTATTAGTAGCATACAATATATTGTACAGTACAACGATATTGTACAGAGGTACACTATATTTTGACTGCTTATTTTTATGAAGAATTGAACATGATCTTAATTTTTTTGTGCTACATCATCTATTTCATTAGATTTTAAAGAATTATAATTAGTAAAACATCAATCTATATAATATTATAATATTTAGAGATGTTTTTTCTTCAAAAATAATTTACTACACTAAATTTAATTCATTACATGTAAATGAATGAAGACATGTACTGTACTGTGTATCTAAATATTGGTGCAGGTAAAAGTATGATCAAAACAATACAGTATTTATTATAAAAGGGTATATGAAATAACTGCTATACTGTACAGAACATGTACAGTATAGTCAAAAGGCTGGTAAATAAATTCACACTAACTAATAATTTGTTTGTGTGTGAATTAATCTATGAAAATATCTCCTAAAACGGAGTAATTTATCAAGACATTTCGACCTAATATTGTATAGTTCAACTTCCATTCCCTTGAAGTTGTTATCGTGTAAACAGACTTATGCATGTATAAATGTATAAACAGTACTTTCATTGTGATTTTCTAAGTAACCAATAAAAATGAACTGAATTGAATTAATACATATTGAGGGATACACAGTACATTTCACTTTCTTGATGTTTACACAGAAATTAAACATGCATACAGACTATATACAGGTAATATTATTTTGTATATTTACACTGACATGTAAATAAATAACATAGAACGAACGTTACTCCTAATAAAGAGTTTATTTGGAATAACATTCTTTTTACAACTTATTAAAAATTATTTGTTTTACCTTTTAAAAAGAAAAAAATATTTGATTAATAAAAAGGACCAACATGTTAATTTTCAAGAACAAAACTAATATCACCATTTTGCTACTGTATGCTTCATGTTTAGAAAATTAATTTTATTATCAGTAATATTTATTGTTCCGTAAATTGTAAATTTAGTTGAATGAAAGGTTTGTTTGCTATTTTACTTCATTACTTAAAGGTCTGTGTTAAGCATTTCTAACTTTGTCTGTGTTCAGACATAAACTCAAATACATGTGTAATCTAATAATAGCCTTGGGGCTAATTTCGACAGTCATTCGGACGAGTAGAATAAGAACCGGTAAACCAGTAAACTTTTCGTATGTCGTCCTTCATCCAGGGTCAGACACAAGTTTTTTAGCAATATTTTTGTTGTTACTGTTTAAAACTATACATAATCTAGCCTTTGTAACTTCATTTCGAGCTTCAAGTGATTTCTTCACTGTGATAACATTCGGCACATTAGTTCAACTTCCATTCCCTTGAAGTTGTTATCGTGTAAACAGACTTATGCATGTATAAATGTATAAACAGTACTTTCATTGTGATTTTCTAAGTAACCAATAAAAATGAACTGAATTGAATTAATACATATTGAGGGATACACAGTACATTTCACTTTCTTGATGTTTACACAGAAATTAAACATGCATACAGACTATATACAGGTAATATTATTTTGTATATTTACACTGACATGTAAATAAATAACATAGAACGAATGTTACTCCTAATAAAGAGTTTATTTGGAATAACATTCTTTTTACAACTTATATGACAAAATATTATTAAAAATTATTTGTTTTACCTTTTAAAAAGGAGAAAATATTTGATTAATAAAAAGGACCAACATGTTAATTTTCAAGAACAAAACTAATATCACCATTTTGCTACTGTATGCTTCATGTTTAGAAAATTAATTTTATTATCAGTAATATTTATTGTTCCGTAAATTGTAAATTTAGTTGAATGAAAGGTTTGTTTGCTATTTTACTTCATTACTTAAAGGTCTGTGTTAAGCATTTCTAACTTTGTCTGTGTTCAGACATAAACTCAAATACATGTGTAATCTAATAATAGCCTTGGGGCTAATTTCGACAGTCATTCGGACGAGTAGAATAAGAACCGGTAAACCAGTAAACTTTTCGTATGTCGTCCTTCATCCAGGGTCAGACACAAGTTTTTTAGCAATATTTTTGTTGTTACTGTTTAAAACTATACATAATCTAGCCTTTGTAACTTCATTTCGAGCTTCAAGTGATTTCTTCACTGTGATAACATTCGGCACATGTCCACCGCTAGACGACGCCATGTTGTTGTTGACTGTAAAACAACACGTAAAGTTGTTGTTACAAAACTAATTTATAATAGTTATAAAATTATTTTTCTGTTATTGAAATACAAATAACATCTAATTATAATTTTTAAGTTTGTTTTTAAAGCAGTAACACTCACTAACAAATAATAAACTACGAATTAGAAACAACATTTGAACGAATACAGTGACGTATGTAAAAATGTCACTCGCTCGCTAGCTAGCCTACTGTAAAGAACTTCCAATTTTGTTGTAAGTTTAAATGTCATTTTCTCGTGTTTTGCTAAAGTTCTTACTGTCAAACTTTTTTTAATGTTTTTAAATATTAGCTAAGTTATTTTCATAAGAAGTTAAGGCATTATGAGAAAATGGAAAACGGGATTGAACGATAGGAATTTTACTCTGGCCCGGTTTTATACAAATCTAAAGGTCAATTTGTAACATGGGCCTTGTTACATGTGATAAATTACACCTGGAGGCAGCGTGTAATTGAAATATCCACTAAAAAAGATGGGTT